ATTTTTATTCAAATTTTTCGCAAAAATTTTGTTAGTTTATTAACTGTTACAGTTAGAAAAAAATACCAAAGAGCCCAAGGCCATGTCACAAAACATAGGCACAAATGTGATGTCATTAAATTTTAAGCTTTATAATCAGCTCAGCAGTGACAAGTCAGAGATATCTAGAAAATAATGAAATACCTTATAGCTTCTATATTTATTATACACCTACCAATTTTTTGTTAATGTATAGATCAAATAATATACATAGTTGTCAGAGATAATACAATAAGAGAACACGATGTCATAGTGACGACATGTGACGGTAGACGATAGTGATAAAAATTTGGCAAATATTAGTCGCTTCAAATATGCAACATGCAGAGCAGTTAGTATTGTCTTTTATTGACATAACCTTTACACATTTAAAGAAAAAACTTTTTAACCGAATTAAATACAGATAATGCAACTTTCTCTACAGCTGTGATACTTTTTGACATCCAACACCTTTTGTCTTCAGTCACCGTGACCACGCACGCTGTAAAGCACGCGAAACGTCGGATACATTTTAAATTATGTTAAATAATTGTAAATTTATAATAATACATAACTTTAATCAGGTAAAAAAGTTTTTTCTTTAAATGCAGAGCAGTGTTGGTCTAGTGGCTTTAACGTTCTACTCATCCCTGAGGTGTAGGTTCGATACCCAGCTGTGCACCAATGGACTTTCTGTCTGTGTGCGCATTTAACATTCGTTCGAATGGTGACGGAAAACAACGTGAGGAAACCGGCTTGCCTTAGACCCACCAAAGTCAACGGCGAGTGTCAGACACACAATGATCACCTACTTGCCTATTAGATTTAGAAATGATTATGAAACAAATACAGAAATCTGAGGCCCAGACGTAAAAAGGTTGCGCTACTTATTTAATTATTTTATATTTTGTTTTAGACACGATCCAATTTATTTCGAACCGTTTCATCATTATTAAAGTGTTAATTAAATAAACAAAAACGAAACCAAAAGAAAGACGATTCAAATGACCTTTGATTTTATCAAACAAGCGAATCCGTCTTGCTCGAGAACAAACCACGATATTAATTTAGCCAAAGCTAAGTAGCAATGACACTTGCTAAGATTTATTATGTTCCACAAGAAACAGGGAGCAACTTCAGTGCAGTGGGCTAACCGATAACTTCAGACCAGTCGTTATTTAAGAGGTTTTCTGTCCTGTGTCAGTGAAAACGTTCAACTTCAATGTAAATTATATTTACTAGAATTTATGGCGAAAGTTTCGACTGTATTGTTAGTTGAGCAGTTAAATCATCTTCCTTTTTGTACCTGAATGTTTGCTCAGCGTTTAAGAGAGTTTTGACATTATTATAATATTCGTAAAATTTACTGGTTCAGATTGTATTTTGAACAAAATAGTTTTAGAAAATCGTAAAACGTATTCCTTTTCTTAAAATTATGCTATAAGTTTTTTTTATTAATTTTAATGTTGGTTTTTACTCAAGTACTACTCAATAACGTCAATTTTACTGTACCAATACATAGCTAAATTTAAATGATATATGAAGATATGGATCACCAGAAGCTTGTAAATTAGACAATTACTTAGCAGTTATTCCATCAGATCAAAACAAAACCGCTACCATAATTATTTAAATGATAATTCAACAATGAAACTATTTTGCAGACTAAAGCCTACATCTATTTATTGTCAGTTTAATTCCCAATCTATTACGTGTTTATACAAGTGCCGTAGACAATTCAATTTAGCCTTAATCCATTCAGCAGTTGACCTATGAAACAGAGAAATTCCTGGGAATCATAATAGCTTGGACATTTTCCACCGACTTCCCTTTTACGGTAATTGCCAGCCTTCTGTTGCCTTACGTTATCAAAGATTATGATTGTTGTTTGCCAAACTCTCGTCTGATCTTGTTTTCAATGCGTTCATTATTATACGAAACCAATTTTCATCTATAAATTTTTAATTAGGTAAAACACTGATTGTTTGTGTTAGTATTATGTATATTATACCTTCTCCCATGACTTATGGTACAATTCTGCATTTTTTATGCTGGTATTTTGAAATATCTCTAAAAAAATGCTAATTTTTCGGTTATGTAAAGTTGGGTCGGGGATATAGGTTAAAACAAAAAAGAGAAAAAAAAAAACAAATAGTAAATTCAGTCATAATAGTCATACGATAATTGTATAATTTTCTTGCGTTTTTCTCTTTTATTTTCATTTCACATATGAAGAGTAATAATTATTATATCGTAGAGAATATTGTTTGTCATATTTTCACGGTAAGGTTTTACTTCTTAAAATATTTTTAAACCTAACAAAACTATTTTAAATAACTGTGTTTTGGTAGTATACAGTCTATTACAACTAATCACACAAGTATTCTTTGAGAAAAATCCGATAAAAGCGAACATAACGTGGTCGGTTTGAGAGAAAATACTATTAAATTAAATTTCCTTCAGTAAGTCTCAAAGGGTTCTCGATGGTCTGAAGTTGGTTGCTTTTTATATTTTGTAAAGTGATAGTTTTCGTGTTTTTTAGCATGTGGAATATTTTGAATACTTTTTGTATTTATTTGGTGCGAATTTAATTTAGCCTCCTTATTCATAATAAATCAATATAAAGCATATTGACTAAAGTCCTCATTCGCCTCATCCTGTCAAATTGAGGGGTGTATCTCATCTACGTCTGTAAAATCACCCAAATGTTGAGAACGCATATAAAAAAAAGGGTGCGTGTACCTACTTATGTACGCGAAGTTATACTTCTTTGGCATTATTAAAAATACTTTTTTGATTGCATGCAAATAATTAATTACAATTAAATAATCAAAGACTGGAAAAGGAGTCATTATAGTCAATAAAGTCCAGTTTTCATTTAAAAAATTAAATAAATAAATATTTATTATTATTCTCTTACATTAAGTGTAACATAAGTCCAAATATTAAGAAAAACAGTCACTGAACTTGCACGCTTAAATAAAGTCATTAAGAAGTTTTATCGTCTGAACTATAAAGGATAAAGAAAATCCTGTAAGCGTGTATAATGAAAAAGAAAATACTATAATGAAATGTTTAATAACAGAGATTTTTAATAAAAGCATGTCGTCTAATTATTTCCTTCCATTGAACTGTTAGTCCTGCTCAATCGTAACTCGCATGTTGCAGCTTTCAATTATATTGTGAGGAAATATTTCTATTTAAGAAAAAGATTGTTCGGATAAAAAAAATATTCGAGTATTTTCCTGTATAGGTATGGTAACAAGACGTTTCATTGATCAGGATTTAGCGCTACTAGATAATTTGTCATCCTATCTTAAATATAAAAAAAGCAGTTGTCTTACAACCTTGTAAGGTCTGGGCCTCAGAATTTCCTTGGCCTTATCTTTTTCGTACTCTTTTGTTTTTTCTAATAAACCTCCTTGATCTGCTCCTTACACACGCCGTTGACTGTTTGGGTCTTAAGGTTTCCTCATGTTGTTTTCAGAAACAGAACAGAAAGCCGGGCATCGAACCTACAACTTCAGGGTTGAGAGTCACACGCTGAAGCCTACCATCATCTTAAATAATTTTTTTTGCCTAGAATATAACTAGGACCTCCAGATTAAATAATTTTTAAACCAGTTTAGTTATTCAGATAGGTACTATTGGATCTCCTATTCCAATTAAAGACAAAATAGCATATTATGTTTCAGATTGTAAAATTTAGCGCACAATTTAAGGGAAACCTTCACTGACGTTTTTTAACTTCAAACAATTTACGATTTCCTCACAAAACAATTAGCATTGGTAACAAGAACTACTCTTAAAAAAGTTATAGAAATTTTTTAACCATGGATTATACTAATTATAATTTATACGGCCCTGAGACTGTACGTAGATTGTCTGTAAAGTTCAGAGCGGTTAGTGATTATTTTAAATCTTTTTATAGCTTAAGTCGGCCTACTTCCCTTGGCTAAAGTAGGCGTAGTTCCACTAGATTATAAATTTACTCAAGTATTGCCTAGATGGCCGTACTTTTATACCGTTTATCTATTGTGCTAGATATTTGTTTGATTTTACTATTCTTGTTCGGTTTAAAAAAGATTTCAATGTTTTTTACAGTTGGTTTCTGATCCTAATCCGGACACAAAGCACCTAATCTTGACATTACCTACTTGGATTGTAAAGCCATTACTGCGCAAGGAAAGGGCATCAGGGGCCTGTAGTCACAGAATATTTAGTTGTATAATATGCTATGTATATGTCAACGTAAAATTGTAAATATCGTTAGATTGTAATCTATCTCGCGAGATTGTGAACTGTCGAAAGATAGACTCGGCGTACTGCTTACAATTTAACGTATTTTTATTCGGTAGATTATAATCTATCGAAGTGAAATCGTCAAATTACAATTTTAAAATTGTCAACTGTCCGAAGGTTGTCCCTGATTGGTCGGCTTTATAGTAGACCGTTATATGTTCATAGAGTTAGGAATGAAACACGGGTATCAGTCAAAAAAAATGAATGCACTTCAAGACAGTTCATAATCTCGCGAGATAGATTACAATCTAACGGTATTTACAATTTTACGTTGTCATATAATATATTCAATGTTGCGCATATCAATAGTTTTGGAGTCACAAGTCAATAATTTTGGAGTCGATACTATGTGTAAAATGACGATTTTCGTAGGATTCTAGTTTGGTTCATGTCATACCTAATAATTTTTTTTGTCACTGTAGCGATTTTTAAACTACATAGCTTGTGTCTTTGTAAACGAAAAAGTTTTAGTTGGAATTAATTACATTGGAACCACGACCTAACACAAAACCTTAAAATTATCTCGAAGTTTAAGTAGTACTTTAGTATATTCATGGCTGGAGTCTCCTCACCAAAGTCTTTGATATGACACATATATAAAAAAATTCTCGATTTGCAATCATTGTCTATTTTGCATACACCAGCCCATTTACCTAGTTTTTTGTTGTTGTCAATCTTCGTTAGTGGAATATGATGTTCATTGCAGAGTGCCTGAACTCATTTCTTTCATCACAGTGCTCGGTCAATACACCTAAAACTGCTTGTCTCTTGTCCAGAGCTTTGGCAGCTTCATGGAGACTATGTATTAGATAACCGTAAATGTGAGCTGTCTTTAAGACTTTCTGTAGAGCTGTTGTAACATCCATTGCACCGTCACTCAACACAGGGGCATTGGGAACCTCAACATCCGTCATGGTGGCTGTCATTTACACATAAAAAAGGAATTGAAAGACATCGTAATTCCCTATCAACTAAGATACACGATAGCCCTTTTTATTAATTTTCAGTGCGTAAAATGACACTGTACAACCAAACTTAACTGATTACATAGATAACCCAGAAGATGTTTGTTACGGATTTTAATTATGTGGATGGAAAAAGTAGTTGTTGGAAAGGTGTATTTTTACATTTAAATTTAAAATTATACTGTATTAACCGCCATAACTAAAATTGGCCTTCAGCAGCATTGACTAATATTCTGTATTGAATAGAACGCCGGTAGGCATTGAATTATAATGTTTCAATTTATAGTGGTTTAGATCAAATGAGGATTTGTAACTGTACACGAATTGTTATATTATGTATGAGGGTACTTCCTAGTTCCTCCGTAATTGTATGAATATACCTCGAAGGCATTCAGAGAATTGAATAGAGTCTATAGAAACTGACCAAAGGAAAGATGATTGATAACTAGGAGGTGAAAACCCTTCCTTTTGGTGTAAGATTACACGTTTTGGTAGTTACGTTGGTTTATTTAAATTATTAGTTTTGGAATTAAGCGATCGCATTGGCATAAGTATGAAGGTTCACAGCATACCATGACACAATCTGTGTAAAAAATTATGTCAAAATATGTCATCGATTTTTGGTTATAATATATCGGTTTCCGGAATTGCATGCCAATTGCGCTCATAGATAATGGTACACTGTCGGTATTCAAATGCAAAATCATACACATAGGCATTACCAACCGTATATGTGATATTGCACAAGACATAAAAATTAAAATTCAAAATACTTACATAACTGAGTTTACTCTATGATGTCCAGGTACCTGAATATTATCCTACAGCTTTTCTCGAGTGTCTATTTAGTTGAGTTCTAGAAGCTTCCTTACAATTGGAATATTTTATGGCTTTTTCTGAATCTGTGTTATTATTAATTATTACAAATATTGATTTTAATTAAATTGTAAATCTAAACCGAAGCCTTATCAACGTATCACACCCTCGGTAAATCGGTGGATCCTTAATGAAAAAACTTTTGTATATTTCAATTAGCGACCGTGTAATTTTCGAACGTTAACGAGCTAAATTTTATCGAAAATTAATTGCGACGTCTTCATTGAAAAGTTTTCAATCCACTTTGATATTTGAACATTTCTTTGGCGAACTTTGACAATGCAGTAGCTGTTTGAAACAAAATGTTTTGGCCTAAATATTCGTAATTCAAGTGAATGAGTCAGTCAAATCGGTTAAAACTTTGATAAATATTTCTCAATGTTAATCTTAATTTAGTTGCTTTGTCTTCTATTACGCATGTTTGAACAGGTCCAAAATTCTTTAGTTTTGATAACTTAGAAAGAGACTAATGTATAACTTTGTACTGCGGTTGAAGTATTTGAATTTTTTAATTTTTATTATTTTTTTAAACCCATCCCATACAACTTCATTCTCACGTTTTGGAGTTACCACCGTAGTTTAGTTTCGGGTAAAAAATAATTACATTATATTGGCCAAAGTTAAAAAAATATTTATTGAACTTCACCGGTAGGGATCAGAATCGTGTACCAGACACGATTCTGATCATTAGTATTTGTAACAGAACATCCGTATAAAAACGATACGAACGAACTATGTCCTATTACCATCATATTTATCATAAAAAACATGAGTGGACTTTAAAAATAATATTACTCTGCAGACCAATATATTAAGTATAAAGTATTCGGAGTTAGTGCAGTGTCAGGTCACATTCGGTTCTTGTACTTTACGCCGGCTAACTTATTAAAGTCACTCGCAACACCTGCTCTCCAGATAGAAACTTTGCTATACATACGTAATATACTTTAATATTCGAGATCCATTCCAGACTTACCAGGTCTATATGAATAAAGAGACAACTTATTTGAAGTTGTGATAAGTTATGTCGTCTATTTTAATGAGCATAATACAAAATGACTGTGAGGTACATTTAGTTTTAATGAAAATATTAATTACCCTATAATCGACCATAAATTAAGGTCATTGCCCTACTGGTATTGTACGGGAATATACTATTTTTTAATTTATATTCATATTCAAAATTAGAACCAGAAAAGTGAGACTTTACTATATTATAAACTTTAAAGTCATTTAAAATATCAATCGCAAAGTATCAAACGTAAAAAATCTTGTTATTTTTCTATTACAAATTTCGAGTTTAATTATTGCAAAATTTGGCTTTCGTATTTGTTTTTCTCAGATGAACCAAATCTCTTAAATTCAAATCATCGTTAGGGATTACAAGTTTAAATCGCCTTGCTGTAGAATGGTATGTATAACAAGGCTTTCAGTGTGTGCGTTAAAACATAGACGTGTTTGTCATTTACAACCCGAAAAATGTTACTTTCCCGCTTCCTCTTACGGCCTTTTGGCGATGAGAGCATTTGTGAGCGTGCGTAGGAACGTTGTTACAGCTACGAATGTTCGCTTGTGTGCGCGGTCCGGGTTTCGTAGCCCCCGCCAGTAGCTTGTCGGTCGTGATAGAGCTACGACGCGTCTTCGTCGTAGCTCACTATCGGACAATAGAATCTGCGTACGTACAGTTTTGTTATTTTTGTGAAAAGCTATTGGACATTGCGAGAGAAAAAAAGTTAAATATGCTTCAGTAAAATTGACTATAATATTCCCTCCTGCTTCATTAATTTAATTGATGTATAATTAATTTTGTTGTACTTCAAAACAGACGATTAGTGTGAGACAAATAGGGCTCTAATAATTTCAGATGGATTATTCAGCCTTTATGTGACGTTACAGTGTCTGTGAAACTTAATTAATTTTGACTGCTTCACGTCAGTGCTTATGGAATTACTGTAATTGTACCACTAAGGTAAGATCTTTTATATACTCATATTATGTGTCTTCCCTTATATTATATTTCAATGACTATTGCCGGCTACATCCATATTATTATAGAATTTTAAGACCGGATATAAAATTATGGTATAAATAATGTATATAATGATATTATGATAGATAATTTATTTTCAATCATTCATTACTACAACAGTCTCAATTTTTTCAAAATTTTACGGTTATATCTTCATGAAATATATGTTATCTTAAATTATTTAAAAAAGCTTAAATTATATACTCCGTTTGTTCAATATATATTTTATTATAGAACAGGGGGCAAATGTTAAGTAAGGCTGATGTTAAATGATACTGCCGCCCATTGCCACTGTAAAGTTAATTTTGTTTCTGTTCTGTTCATTTATGTATATTATTTCGCTAATAGATTATCAGCTGCTACTAGATGTACCTTTAGGTACAATTTTATAGTATCCTTGCACCTGGATGATTTATTTTATGAAGATAATATGTAAGCACACGTAAACAAATTTTTGAAAACGGTTCAGATGTTTTTTTTTTGTTATGAACTTACAGATATTAAAAAATTTCTTCTTTATGATATTAGTATAGATATTTTGGTATTTTTTATTCACATTTATTGTCAACCGATACACAACATTAAAATTAAGTTTTAATTGTCCATGGTAAATAGTCAATCCTTATAAACATAAAACCAAATCTAAAATGAATTTTTACGTAAATGTATCTATTGTTTTTTTTTAAGTGCTACAGTATTGTAAGAATACTTAATACTCCATAAACAACTTTGTATATTTCCTCGTTGAAGTCTAGTAAGGGTTACGGTAGCCTAATCTTCGATTGTCATCTCGGAATGGAGTCTGAAACAGGCAATGTGCCAGAAAACCTGAAATATTAACGTACAAACTTCCTCCGCCGCATACCAAGTAAAATAACTTAAAATTGGTAACACTATTTTACATTAAAAATGGAACAGTTACATTTATTTTAAAACTCCGAGCCAAAAGAGTTCATGATAATTAGCGTTGATGATCGATAACGATTTAAAATCTGACATAATTGTTCCTTATGCCCGACATCAAATGGTTAGAAATATAAATATACAGAACGATGACAAATCCAAACAAATAAAACATTTATTCCATCGGGACAAGAGTATGAAAACATTAATATATAAAGGCAAGCTTGGCTGTCCCTTGAGATGCGATAAGCTCCATCATCACATGGCAATGATTTACAGTGCCTCCCGTAGGCAAACGTTTAGAGTATCACTAGCTGCCCCGCGAACTTCGTTTCTCCTTAATGCCTAGCTTACTTTTTTAGTACATACCAACATGGAACATTTTGATATGCTACCCCAGAAACTGTTCGGTTTTCCGTAACGAAAACTTTTCAGGTTTTTCTGTGATTTTTCTCTATATATATAAACCTCAGAGTTCAAGTTATAAGTTCTTAACTAACAAATAAAAATAGGGGTTGATCGTAGAGGGTAGATGAAAATTAAGGGTTGTATGTATTTTTGTATGCAGTATCAAAAAAAACAAACCCTTATCACTTAGAGGTTTGATAGATAGATAGTAGCCGTTAGGATGACTTTTTATTAAAGACCTTTATATAAAGACCTTTAATTAAAATTATTTTAAATATAATATTAACTTTATTGCTTTAACACTAAAAATATTGGGACGTCCCTTTAAGCACAATTTATGATGGAATATTTTTACAAATAATTTTTTCATCTGTAAATTTGTATTCGATTTTCCTCACCGTAGCTCAGACAAATATTTTATTCCGTTTCCCTTACAAGTATAATCAATAAACATTCATTATATAGAAGTGAGAGTACTATTCAAATTTCAATTACAAAGTTGAAACTCGTCAAGATTGATAGCGAAGTTTATCGAGTTAGTAATAACTAATATAATATACACTTGAAGTACTTTACCTGCGAGGATGAGAAATTCAAACTAAACGATTATATCATAGGATTATCAATTTGACAGTGTTTGCACCCACAATAATACTTGACACATCTTTATATGTATAAAAAATTATCTTTATTTCCCTTAGTCTGTGAGGTCTAGTGATGCGGTGCTCGTAAA